TTTCACTTTTAGTAATTTTATCTGGTTTGATTATTAAAAAACTGAGAAAACACAAAACAAATGCAACACTGGAGGTTTCATTTCTAAATATCACATTACCCAGTTGTGTCTTGGTTAGGATAAGAGTGACCCGTGAAATAAGCTTTTCAATCTTAAAAAGTCACATGACAGCCCTTCTCTGAGGCCCAGTGGTTGAAACAGAGGAATAAGAGTCATGGGACCAAGATTCTATTCCCCGCTCTGCCAATAGCGTGTTATGCAGCCAGGCACATTGCTCAACCACCACTGTACCTCAGCTCCCCTATCTGTAAAATGGACACAGTAATGCTTACCCGCTTTCATAAAATTCTCTGATTTAAAATTCTCTGATAGAAGCCAAGTGGCAGATTGTGTAAATTAAAACAATGAGATACCTCTTTAAAAATCCACACAACCCAAAACCTTCCAATCACAGGTTTTCCATTATGCATTCATATATTAGTTTTTGGAAAACCGATAACACATCCAAAGATTCTGCTAACTAATACTGAACACAAATATTTTATCCCTCAATCTGTGATGTCCGATAAGTAGATAAACAAAAGAGTAAAGAAAACCAACAACAAAAAATGGTTTTGTCAAGTATGTGTCTGATTCAGAGCTCCTTGAAGTCAGTGAGAATTTTTCCATGGGCTTTGGATCAGACCATGATAGAGCTCAACTTAAAATTCAGGGCCTGATTCCCAACTCTATTATGCCAGTTTTACACCAGCATATGTCCACTGTATATTCTGGAATAACTCGTGGGGGGGGGCCTGGCTTGCAGGCACAACAGCAATACAAACAACAAATTATAACATCAACTGACATACAAGATAAACATGAACCCATATGCCAATTAAAGGAATAGAGTAATATGAATTATGTTCTGTCATTAAAAGATGCCTATTGAAAACAAAGATTTCAAAATTCTGAGCTCAGTATTAATGATATATAATATCATACAAAGTTCAGTGTGCCTGTTTCTCTCCTCGTTTTCTGTCATCTGCATGTTTCAGAGTAGCATGTATCTGTAGATAAATGTACTGAATGTAATGAGATCTACCAACTTACTGTATTTCTAATTTATACACGGAAAACTCAGCTTATGTAACTTTTTGGTGTACTCTACACTATTGCAGTAGGTATGTCTTCATTTTTCACAATACAAGATTGGTTTTGCACATTTTGGCTTGAAGCTCTATAATCCATATGCGTAGCATGATTTAAATTAGTGCCTACAAATGTCATCTTAATTACTTGTGCTGCTGTGCAAAACAGGAAACAATTATTGAAAATATAAAAATGCTTTCAAATATTTCATAGTGTTCTTTCCCTCCTGTTTACAATCACTTTGAGTAGTATCTATGAATCAGGCTTAAATCAGATGCATTCCACTTATTCAAAAAATAAGAAGGCTTGCAGGGATGAAAGTCTGCCTGATGCCTATTGGCACTATTCCTTTTGGGTTTATTTCAAAGGTTTGAATAATGAGTAGCTAAACGGTTAGCCTAACATTCAATGCAAAGAAAACAAAGAAGAAACAAATTCTGTGCTACGAATTACAAGTGCTAGAGCAGTATACCACCTATGACAAACTAAGTATCTGTAACCTGGTGTGATAAAATGTTAAGTCAGCTTACACTGATTTTAGAAATACAAAGATAAAAATTTCTTAATCAAAACGAAGGAATAGAGTCTCTAAAAGTATATGCCAATTATTGCAGAGCAGCCTTTTAAAGTCTTTCAAGCTTTTAAAGATTATTCAAAGCACTTGAAATGGGCTTCAATCTAATGCCTCATTTCATTGCATTAAACAGCCTAGTTAATAAAGAATCAATATATTCAAAGGGCAAGGTTATCTTTTGTCTATAAGGGGTGGTGTCATTCTGAACCTTTTATAGTTCAAATGCTGAAAAAGACCTCATGAAATCCATACTCATCAAGTGGGTCAACTAGAGCAATAAAAAGGCCTCTGAAAGAATGGCTGCCCTCCTTTAAAACAACTGTAAGTCTTATCTACCTCACATAGTGCTCCCAAATAATCAGTCAGAAAATGTCAATTTCTCATCAAGACAAGAGGCTCCAATGATATTTTTTTCCAGCGAATACATACAATTAAGAGAATGCAGAAAGGCACCATCGGTGATTTGTAGCTTATTATGTCACCAGCAAGCTGTGATCTAGCTCTAAGCAGATAATAAGGGTTGTTGATAACTAAAGTGTCAATATGCCAAAGAACGATTTTTGAATGTGAGCCCTTGTGCTTTTTTACCTCCCCTTGCTGATCAGAGGGGCTGATAACAGTACATCTGCCAACCGACACCACATGTTGTACCTCACAATTAATGCAATGAATAAATAGCACAAAAGAGTTTGGATTCTTTATACTCTTTGAGACAATTCCCTGTTTTACCCTTCAAGGATTTCTTTTATGTTTGAATAAGGTTGCTTTTAATGAAATTTAAACTCATCAGAGGAAATCAAAAACCTCAAATCAGATTACAAATTGATTTTTTGGTCACTTGTCATTATACAATGTACTGCCATAAGTTTTACGGGGTGGGGGGGGAGGGGGAGTCAAGGCACCAGAGTCTTGAATCAGAGTATGCAAACAATCTTTAAAATAAACATACTAAGAAGCGATGTAAATACCGTCCTATAAACAATTAAAAGTTTGAAAAAGTTAGCATGTGTATATCATTTTCAAAAAGAAAAGGTACTTTACTGCTTTTACTAATAAAAATTCACAGAATAACAAATTATTCAAGAATTCAGGCCTATACCATGACTTAAGTCATACTTTATTCCTACTCATGTCTATTTTCTCATTCATATTTTTAAGATCTATATTTATGTATAAGAAATTCAATTTATCAAATTCCATATCTAAGAGTTAAGTCAAAACTACTTTGTGGAAAATCTAATACCTCATTACATTCGCAGTGTTGCTACTCTGACGTGGCCAGCTGAAATACTAAACCAGCACTGTATACTATATCTTGAAGCTGTTTTGACTGCTTACCCATTTCACAGTGTTGGAGACTTATTCAATTAAAATATTCTTGAATAGTCATATTATATTATTTTTACTTTTTGTTTATGTGACTTTGGATATTGTAAGGGCATCTTGTAAATCAGTTATGGGGTTTACATGGTCACATACTGCTATCTGGGTAGAATTATGGTGCTTACAAATGCATGAAAGAAGTTTTACCCTTTTATCGACTACGTGAGACTTAGCTGACATTCTTTAGTAGATTTTCTTGAACAATTTGAGGAGTCTGCTGCCTCTGCATTTCTATATATTTCTTAGCAAAAACAAAAACAACAATTAGACTGACAATTGGATGCATGGCAAATTTTGTCAAGGCTAATCACTCAAACAAGTTGAAAAAAATCACTATGGCACATAGATTGCATATTCTTGTTAAAATTCTTAATACAAATTTAAAAGTTAAAACACTATTGTATAAGACTGTAACAGTACTGTGACATGCAGTGGGCAATTTTAAACGTTGTTCTGTTTCCATGACTAACTGCAGGGGAAAGAAAAAAAAAACAAACAAGAAAAAAATGGTAAAATACAAAAATTGTAATAAAGTTGTATCTTATGCCATCTTGTGTCTTTTATTGCTGCGCTGGGGTAAATTTATTGAGGAGAGAGGATGGGAGAATCTCAGTTGCTCTTGGGCCTGGCTTGGTTTGGTGCAACGGGGGTACAGCAGAGAGAAGGTGCATTCTGATGTCATGCATGAAAGGGGTGCATATCTGTGGGGGATATTTTTGGGGAGTGTGTGTGTTGGTGGGGGAGAGGGGGTGGATGGACAAGTCCCTAGCATCTCAAAGCCGTTCTCAGATTTTCCTGGAGTGCTCGTCTCTGGTCATCACTGCTCCAGTTCCAAGGTGGGCTTTAATCCCCTCCACTCCCACTTGGAATCACTTTTATAGCTATCTCCATTGCACTGTTGCCCCCAATAACACCAACCTGAAAGGCTGGGGAGGTACAGGATGAGGACTTCCCTATGGTATGTAACACAGCCAAGCATCCTAATACAGTTCTCCATCCGTTCTGTGATTGCTTGGCTCTGGCCATTGCTGTTCCAGTCCCGAGATAGAGCAAGCACTTGCGGCCCTGTTTGCTTGGTAGCCACAGAAGTATTATTTAAAAAAAAAATCATAGTAAGAATAGTATTTGAATAAAAATGAACTTTCAAGGTCATTCTGCCAGCCCGCATGTGAAAATATGAACCAACATGGCTGCTCCCTGTCATGCACAACTGTTTGCCTTAGTCATGAAGGCACAGTTCACGTGAAGTGTTCATGTACAGTACAGCTAATTTCCTTCCAGGAGATGTAAGTAACAAAGGGAGAATGATCTCCACCTACAGGTAATGGAAAAATTGCATAAAAAGGTGTTCTATTAGTTAGACCAGAAAGAACCAAAATATCGATGTATGCAATTTCCGTACTAATCAGTTAGCAAATGAATGAGGGTATCAATATTTTTAAGTATGCCTTTTGTACCAAATAAAAACGAAGGTACATAGGATACACATATTGTGTCACTTATGTGAAATGTTTATCTTCCCTGTCTATGAATATCTCTCTTTCAACTATCAAAGAATTCTGTAATGATCAAAACTAACAATGTTGAAATACCATTATCAGAACATCCCCAAACCAACTAAACCCTCCTCACTTAACCCACCCCCTCAGAAACGGCCTGCGTAAACTTAAATAAGGCTGAGCGACAAGCGATTAACAGACTTGGGTTCTGTAGGACCAAGGGAAGAGTCCAATTCCAGAGTTTAGGGCCATCTACTACAATCACTGCTTCAAACTCTCATATGAGCAAATCCAAGTGATCTCAATAGATAGGTTAAGGGCATGAAGAGAGAGATGATTGCTAAAACACTCAAGGCCCAAACTATAAAAAAAAGTATGTATTAAAGCCAGCACTTCTAATTACACCTGAAAAT